TTCCAGTAGAAATGTGCGAACGGTTTTTGCAACTAGGTGTCGATATTTTTTTCACCTGCTTGCTGGTGAAGACAACAGTGAGATGCATTTGATCTTCACTAATTTCAATTCAGTTTCTAAGATGATTTGTTTTTCTTTCGCAACTTAGTTCAAAAAAGCAGAGTAGAAAAAAAAATTGACAAACATCGCAAGCCCTTGCAATAATCTTGTCCTCACAGTATTTAAATTTCGGCTTGGCGAAGTTTGAATCATAATTCAACTCAGTTTATTTTGGCTTTTGAATACAAATCCACGGCAATAAAAAGAATATCTGAATTATTGTTTTCTTTAAGCCCTGTATACCATGTCGAAGATAAAGAAGCGCAAAATTGTTCTTCCATAATTAATGATTAAATATGTAAACGATTATCGTAGTAAATGTAAACTGTTAAACTATAAAATGCTTCTTTCCTATCTCGCTTCAAATTTCCTATTATAAATAAATTGTCTTTTTCGAGTTCATATCGTATAAAACTCTACTAATTATTCTAAAAGAAACTTGCTTTAATTACATAATCAAGCAGCAACAAAGAAAGAAGAAAAAGCGTAGCATAATTATCAATGATGAGATAAATATTTTTTTTTCGTTTTTGGATGTATAATTTCTCCATCAGTTTTTCACTTTTTTGCCTTTTTATTTTTGATTATTAAAAAAATGAAAATAAACAAAAATAAAAAGGAAAAAAAAATGGAAAAAACTCGCTTAAGCGACAGTATGAATTTGAAAAATACTGAAAAAAATGACTGCTTCAAGCTACCACAGACACATCATCTAAAATGAAAAACTGTACCAAGTTTGTAGAATTCTTAAATTGACAGAACTACAAACTCGAAATAAGCAGAAAGAAAACAGCAAAAAACGTATCGAAAATTAAACAAAACAGATCTTCTACACACCTCTGAAAGCCCAAATACTCACAGCGACTGCCATTAAAATGAATTTCTTCATGGTAAGCATAGTAACCATGATAAACTTAGCTTGTTGTCGAGTTTGACGGTATTGACTTAACAGTCAAAAGCAAAAGTATTATTAATAGTTATTTTTACATAACATTGAATTATTAATGGTTTTAAAAGTCACAAAACAATAGATATTCTTTTCATTTTACCTCGTTATAAAATAAAAAAAAGGTGTAGATTGTGAAATATATCTTTTTCTTTAGTTTTGAAAATGCAACATTTTGAACCATTAAAAGATATCATATCGTTCACTATACGGTCACTCGTGAGATATCGATTCAACACTCGAAGRTAAAATTAGTATTTCCGCGCTCATACAATATGCTCTATTTCAAAMTTATCCACGAAAGTTTTCATTAAAAATAAAACGTTCCTCTAGTAAAAATGRCTCAATCATGTTACACATCATTGATTGTTACACTCTCAMTCGTTCGCTAAGCTCACTCTTCTCAAAACTCGCAGTTCCATATCTCCGACTRAKCACCTAWGCAGTATCTTTCTTATTATTTTATACATTTKTTTCAAAAGTCCTTGTCGGGGAGAATGACTAATGGTARTTATCGAACAGATATTGCAAGACCACCAAAGGTATGCCTAAACTGTTTGGCGTGTGAAATTTCACTTGGGTCCATCATTCATGGAAATAGGGACTTAATAGARACAATATTTATCACAGAGAATATTATCAGTTGTTATTTYC